CATAGAGCTCTATGTTTTAACCGGGAAGGCCACTTATGCCCCCACCCAAGGCAATGGGACCCATCCTTAACACAAGAGATGATACCCCTTGCTAATACAAGTATTTGCGCAAAGAGATCATTTTGCCTCTTGTGCCAGGCCATGGTAACCCGGAGCCACCTTCCCTAGGCTACAAGATGGTACTCCTTACTAGTACTCTTGGTACATGCATAAGGGGACCATTCGGCCTCATGACCTAGGCAAAAGTGGAGCTCCACCAAGCTATTCCATTTCTCCTTTCTTATATAGTCTCATGATCTCATTGTTATTTCTTTCTAACAAGTCTTTTTGAGCCTTTCTTTTTCACTTCTTTCCTTCATTTCCCATCTTTTCTTCTTCTTTTTTCCAGATTTCCCATGCCCCCATTCCGGGTTCACAAATTATGGAACATGTGGAATTTCCGTTGAACATTCCTTCACCAACCCTTTGGACATAGCCCAAGACCCACCCTTAAACCATTGGGATGATCCTCCTTACTAATATCTGAGATACTTGCATAAGGGGAACCATTTACTCCCAAGGGTCAAGCAGCAGATTCCATGAGCTTAAGCCTGCAAGCCAAGTAAATCATACATATCGCACCACTCTCCCATAGGGAAGAAGCTTACTTACTAAGATGTTTTGCAGAAGGATAAAGCCTTCATAATGACAGCTTCAAGCCTCCATAGATGTTGGTCTTCCTTGCCCCACAGCCAGGACACCCTCCTGCTGCCACCCTCAGAAACCTCTCAGCAAAGGCCCATCATCAGGTTTTGCAGCCTTCACCCCCTGGATCCCAGGTTCTTCTGCTATGTGAGACAGGCAGCAGATCCACTCCAGGCATCATACAAAATAAACCAACACCCTCAAGAATGCTTCTCAGCAAAAGCATCATCATCAGGTAATCCTCAGCGAAGCGCTATGCCAGATCTTGTCCAGGGAGAAGAGCAAAATGAGGCACTCCCTCAATAGCAAGCAGCTGCATGAAGCCTTGGGGAAGGCTTCCAACCTTCCAAAATACCAGATTCAAACCTTCCCACTTATTAGCAATCCAAACAGCCAAGCTGTTCACTCTTGAGCTACAGCTATTCCACCTCTCCAGGCCATCATCATGACCTGCATTGTCATACTTAAAACCAGGTTCATCCGTCTCAAATTCCAGTCTACACAATTTCTTTCTTCTACACCAAGCCCTCACATCTTTTACTATCTCCTTTTTTAAACTGCTTTGTGGCCCAAAGAGATCAGAAGAATAGATTCCAGCTAGGCAGAATTGTCCCTTCCCATTTCTGATAAAGAAGGAGTAGCTCTGTCCATTTTTACTCTTTGCAAGATTCACCTTCACCCATCCCATAGGCGGTTTGCACCAACTCTCCTTCACAATTTTTCTCTGCACACCAAACCCATCTACCCTTCTTAGAATTACATTCCAGTTAGGGGGGAAAAGGGTCCCACATAGGCCACCTACTTGTTATGCATTCTGCCACAGCCTTAGCCACTTTAAATTTGATCCTTGCTGCAGAGATATTCATGCCCCCATATTTGCACTGAGTGAAACTGACCCAAATTTCCCATATTATTATCATTGGGAGCCTTTGAACAATGAACCTCTCCAATCTATTCTTGACTTTTCTCCCCCACCAGCTATAACACACTTGCTCCAAGTACCTTATCTGCAGATTAATGCCCAAGGATTTTGCAAAGTAGCCCCAGACTTCTCTAGCTATTTCTCCTCTACAAAATACATGCTGCAAGGAGCTTAAAGTGGGACTTGAACAACAACTACACCTGGAAACCACATTGAAACCAAATCTAATCAGTACATCATCCATTGGGATTTTCCTCTTGAAGACTCTCCAAGACAAGAACGCCATTTTCCAAGGCACATGGTTTGCCCATATCTTCCTACTCCAGTGTTTATGACATGCTTTTTCACCCAATTGCTTTCTCTCAAACGCTTTTGCAGCAGCGAAGCTAAACTGTCCCTTAGTATCAGGTTTCCAAGTAGCAACATCCTGGACCCCATCCCTTATCCTCACTCTGGCAGTCAATCTTCTCACTCCTTCCCCCAACTCCCCCACTTCCCATCTTTCCCCTCTGAAGAATTCTCTCAAACTTTCTGTAGCTGTTCTCTTTCCCCCTATGTTCAGAACTGATGCTATAGCCCCCTCCCCTGACCAATTATCCCACCAAAAATTCACCAATCCTTCCCCAATTTTCCATTCAATCTCTCTTTCCACTCTATCTCTTGCCTCCACCATTCTCCTCCAAACATGTGAGTCCTTGTACTGCCAAACTTTACAGACTGGATTAGATCTTTTACAGTATTTTGCTTTCGAGTAGTCCCCCCACAAGGACTTTTCTGTTCTAAAATGCCACCACAACCTTGTTCCTGATGCAGCTATCATTTCCTTTAGGCTAGTAAATCCAACCCCTCCCCTATCTGTTGCTTTTGTCAATGATTCCCATGAGCTCCAATGATATTTCTGCTTGCCATCCACTTTGCCCCAGAAAAAGTCAGCAAAAATCCTCTCTATCTGTTTGATCACAGCCTTTGGAGGGTTTATTGCTGAAAATATATACATTGGCAGAGCTTGAAGCACTGATTTGATCAACACTGCCTTGCCACCTGGCGACAGCAGCCTAGATTGCCACCCCTTGCATCTTGCAGATATCCTATCAATTAAAGAATAAAACAAGTGCATTCTTTTCCTACCAAGATATATAGGGCACCCCAGGTATGTGAATGGAAACTCCCTGTGTTGGCATTTTGTTGTTTTTTTCACTCTCTGGATCACTTCCCCCCTCACTTTTGGATGCATATAAAAGCCACTCTTATTTTTGTTCACAAATTGACCTGATTTTTTTTCATAGCACTCCAAGGTTTTCATCACCTCACTCAATGCCCCCCCTTTCCCAGAAGTAAATATGATCATATCATCTGCAAATGAAAGATGATTGATCCCTGGACCCCCCTCAGCTTGTGAAAAAGTAACCCCATTTTTTCCCAAAAGACAAGACAAAAGTTCTGCTGCTATTATAAAGAGACTTGGGGACAGTGGGACCCCTTGTCTTAGACCTCTTGTTGAGTGGAAAAAACCATGTTGACTACCATTTACCACAACTGAGTACCAAATGTTGTTGATGGTTCTTTCCACTAACTCAATCCATTTTGTACAAAAACCAAACTTTTCTAGGACAGCTAAGACACATTTCCAGGACATCCTGTCATATGCCTTAGCCATGTCCAGTTTTAGAACCACATCATCATTTGCCTCCTTCATTCCATGGCACAATTCTTGTGCCAAAAGTATGTTGTTAATTATATTTCTTTCCTTCACAAATCCAGCCTGGGATGGACCAATTAGTCTAGACAATATCTCTGCCAACCTTGTGACCATTATTTTTGAAATTATTTTGTTGCAGAAATTGCTAAGACTTATTGGTCTAAAATCTGCAAATGTGGCTGGATTTGGGGTTTTAGGGATTAGGACTATTGTTGTGTGTGTTATGAATTTGGTCAGGGCTTTACCCTCAAAGAATTCTTTGATTACCTCATATAGATCCCCCTTAATGACTTCCCAACAGCTTTGATAGAATCCTCCACCAAATCCATCAGGACCAGGTGAGCTGTTGGGGTTCATATTGAAGATGCAGCTCCTTATTTCCTCCATTGAAGGTATTTGCACCAGCTTTCCATTCTCTTCCTCAGTCACTCTTTCCTGCAGACATTCAAAACTGGTTAGATCAAGCTGAGTCTCCTCAGCTTCAAATAATTTCTGGTAGAACCCCACTGCCAGATTGGCTATCTGCTCTTGTTCCTCCACCCACTTTCCCTCTTCATTTTTTATCTTATGTATTGTCTGCTTTCTCCTTCTTTCCCTCACCATCCCATGAAAGTATCTTGTATTTTTTTCTCCCTCAACCACCCACTGCATATGTGCCTTTTGTTGCCAATATTTCTCTTCCACCGTCAAAGCCTTTTTCATCTCAGCTTGTGTTTTTTTATAGAGAATCAGGTTATTCTCAGAGGGGTCATTCTGCAACCCTTTCTCCACAGTCTCCATCTTCTCCTCCTGCTCCTTCACCTTCTCAAATATATTGCCAAAAGTTTCCCAGTTCCATTTTTTCAATTCCATTCTCAAATTTTTTTAACTTTGTTTTAAGTCTGAACATAGCATTTCCTTGAATTTCTTGACTTCACACTCCTTTTACCACTGCCATGAACTGCTCATGATCACTCCAAACATTCAAAAATATAAATGGCTTCCTTCCCATCTTTATTTGTGCTTCCATATTGACCACCATTGGAGAGTGGTCTGAATAAGCCTTTGATAGATACTGAGTATATGTTTTTCTCCCATCCTCCCACTTATTGTTCACCAAGCACCTATCTAACTGTTTCCAGACTGCTTGATCACCTTCTCTCCCATTCCACCATGTGTAAGTCCCACCATAATAGGCAACCTCACTCAACATTGCTTTGTCAATACATTCCTGAAACTCTTTACTCTTGGCTATTCTATAGGGGGTACCCCCCCTTCTTTTCCTCAACCCTCAGAATGCAATTAAAATCCCCCATCACTGCCCAACTATTCTGCCCTATCTCCCCCTTAGCTAGGTTTTCCAGACAGTCCCATAGTTCCCTCCTCTCTCTCACATTACAGCTTGCATAAACAAAAGACACATATGCTTCTTTTTCCCATTCCGCACTCTCAATTTTTATTGTCACCACTTGCTGCCTCACCTCCACAATGCTCACAGTGACATCATTATTCCAGAATATCCAAATTTTCCCATTCCCTGAGCTTTTTGTTACATCCCACCCCATAGACAAGCTTTGCTCTTTCCTATGGTTTTCCTCTCTCATTGGTTCCAGTAGACACAGTACACTTGGTCTTTGAGACCTCACCAAATTCCTGATTCTATAAGGGGTGCCTTGTGACTTTACACCCCTTACATTCCAACATATGACTCTCATTTTATTTCTTGAGATGGCCCCTCCCCTTTCCTCTCTTTTTCCTTCCCCCTTTCTTCTTCCCTTTCCTCCCCTGGTTCCCTTCATTCATTGGAGAGGCATTCACTTCTTTCAAATACCTTTTCCTTTTTTCCTCCATTTCTTTTTCCCTCTCATATTCACTATCTTCTGCTGAGTCATTATTGCTCTCATCATAAGAACCATTCTCACTTTCACTGTAACTCAATTCTCCCTCTTCCTTTCCTCCCTTTTTTTCCCCAGGATCTATGTTTTCTGAACCACCCCAGTCTTTCAGTGCCCCAAAGTTTTTTTGCACTACCACTGGATCAGCTTCCTCTCCATTTCTGTCTCCCTTCATCCCCTCATGCTCTTTGTTTTCTTGCCTTATGTAAGGCTTGGCCTGTGGATCAAGGCCCCTCGCGTTATTAATCCATGGATTGAATGTGGATTTTTGGGGTGTCACAAATGGTGTATGAATTAAATATTTTAAATCAATTCAGCACCAAGAAATAACCTATTTTGAAAATCCTAAGTCTCGGGTGTATTTATGTACCAAGTTTTGACCCAAAAAGTCAATATGAGTGAAACCTGAAAAGAACCTGCGAAACCTGAATCCAATGTTTTAATTAGAAATTATTATTTTTTTGAAAATCTATTTTGACCCCAAAGTTGTACAAAATTATTTTTTTAGCCTTGGTCTATGTTATAGAATGAACCCTGATGTTTTATACAAAGCCAAAGAAGATGTCTGATTTTTGAACAAGCAAATTTACCCTTCTACCCTCATCAACCAATGAAATCAACCTAGGGTTTTGGACCCCTATTTAAGCATCACTATTCCATTCATTCTCCTGGTCCTCTCTTTTGCCACTCCACTCCAAACTCTAGACTCTGTAGAAGAAGAAGAAGAATTACAGTAAGTATTTTGCTTTCATCTCATCCATCCATTTCATCTCATCTCTTAGGATATCAACCTTTGTCCTTTGTCTTCCAAATCTCTAAGTTCTTCCTTAAGCTTGGTGTGTGTTTGTTTGTTTGAGGAGATTAAGTGGTGAAGGAGGTAGTATCTGAGAATGAGAGGAAGGGGGATCCACACAAGAGAAGGCAAAACACAAGGTATAAACCATGGATTGCAAAACTAAGCTTTTGCTCTGTAAAATGCTAGAAGTTTGAGCTTAGATGTTTAGAAATGCTAGAAAATGCTTGTGGTGAATTGTTTGGGTATTGTTGGTGTTTTAAGATTGTTTTGTTGTGATCTGGAGGCATTTTGAGGTTGCTCTGTGATTGTTTTATGGAGAAGAAGGCTCTGGTGCACACTGTCTGGTGCACCAGATGACCTCACGGTCCTAGCCAACGGACCTAGGCAAGGTCCGCTGGCTAGCACCGTGAAGTAGCGGACCATGGGAACGGATCCCAGCTGGATCCGTTGCTCAAGGCCGCCGCTTGGCGGAGCCAAGTGGCGAGGCTTCACAAGCCCCGTCACCAAGCTCCGCCAGGCCAAAAGTTGAATAGGTCGGGCCCTCTGTGGCTCAGCCATGTGTTGTTCAGACCGAGACTCGTGGGCCCTTGAGGCTCAGACACTCGGGCTCGTTACGACATGCTAGTAAAAGTTGATTTCATTTGATTTTGAGTTAGAAAGTATATTTAGCAGTTAGAGATTTTTGAAAGATTAATGCACTGTGTTGTTGGCTGTGAACTTGAGTCTGTGAAGGAATTCTAGTATTTGAGTACATGAATAGTTGAATATCATGCTTAATACTTTGTTAACTCTTGTTGAGAAGATTTGCTAAGTTTTTTATATTATTGGCATGAAACAATGTATTTTTTTCACTTCACAGTGAATGAGCATTTTAGCATATTTCAAAGATTAAGTACATTGAAGGCTCTAAGTAAAGCCTAAGTCCTATTTCAAAACCTATATCTATTTTGAAAATCTATATCTTTTTCATTGAGAAGTTTGCATGATAAATTGATTTCCAAAATGTGAGAAAGAGATATTGCTTGAGATTTATGTGCATTGCAAAGCTTGCATATTATTGAGATAAATTGCATGAGAAGAGAAATAGAGAAATTGCATGATATATATATATATATATATATATATATATATGCTATCTATATTGTGAGGAAAACTTGGTTTTGGAGACCCCGTTAGGACTTGGTCCTTTCGGAAGAAAAGAGAAAGAAAGAAGTTTGAGAAAGAAAAGAAACGGTCACAGAAGACCGACGGATATTTATGAAGTAGCTTGGTCGATATTCCCGAGTTGCTAGGTTCGATACTACCCGCCAGGCTTGAAATCCTAGTTAGGGGGTGTGCACACTGACAAGTACGATACCTGATTCCACAGAGATTATGTAAGGACCAAGTGTAACGGTTCTGTGGGCGAGATGAGTATTAGGTCAGCTAGATGCCGAGCCCAGATAGGTTCGTTCACGATTCATGAAGTCCCTACCTCGCCCACAAGTACAGAAAGAAAGTAAGAAAGAAGAAAGAAGAGAAACGCGAGTCAAGAGACTCAACAAAAGAAGAGAAAAGTGAGTCAAGAGACTCAATAGAGATCCTCCACAGAAAATGTTCCATTTTATATAAAGAGCGAGAGTATATCTATTTATAAAGCATCATATCATATCTTGTTGCATAACTTAGCATGAATTTCATTTGGAGCATTTGAGAAGTAAAGTCTATTGTTGTTGTTTAAGAGATAGCTTGATAGCATGACCTTGCTTGTTGAATTTCAGTTTTTTTTTTATCTATCAGTATGAGGTGGAGAAGTGCATGTTGAGCTATAGTTGAAGATATCTATTTATAGCTAGTGAATGCGTTAAAGTATGAGTTATTGAGTTAAAGCATGTTTTTATGAAGTATAGGTTGCAAGCATATAGAAGTGTTTATGTATGCCTATTGAGATTTGATGGTTAAGTGAAGTAGTTGTTTGTATTCATACTTGAGATTGCGTGTGAATGAGAAATGTTTTCCAACCTATATCTATAGTACTTTACAGGGTTGAGTGGTTTTATACTTAGCATTAATTTGCTAACGGGTTTATTTTCCTACTTGTTTTATAACCCCTTTCAGGTGGGTCCAGTGTTTGAGAGCGCACGCGATAGTTAGTGTGTAGATTTGAGGTGGTAGTTACTAGTTTAGTTTTCTACCTTAGTCGTACTGTTGATAGATGTTATTAAACTATCTTTTTGATGGTGTGTGGACACCGGGGTTTGTTCCCCACGTTTTTTATGTTTTGTAGAGCTTGACTCTAGTTTAGTTACTATTCTTGTAGCCTGTGCAGTCACTTTGAGTGGTGGTTGTGGCAGTGACACCCTTAGTTGATCGTTTGAATGGCGAATTAGTTATCTAAGTTTGCTCATTTATCGTATTTAAGCTTGTTTATTTGGGATTTAGATTTTAGAAAAAGGGGGTGTTACAATCGCACAAAGACGCCACTTGACAAGAATAACAATCTGCACAAATCTCTACTTGAACATCATAAAATACGGAAATGGTGTAAACATCTATTGCATGCTTCTCCAAAGCCAATGGTGTCTTCAAAACAGGAAAACAAGATTCACAATCAGCAGTCAATTTTGCTTGTGCATGACGCTGTGCACCAATAGCACTTCCAAAATGCACCAATAACTCAACCAAACTAGAATGATCATTAGAGAAAGTGCCAAAAAACTATTTTGAGACTCTGATCGAGACGTTGTCCTAACCAAGCCCGACATAAACTCATCATAAAAATATGGAGATGCCCAAAATGTACGACACTCAAACAAGTAACGAAACCAACCATTGTCACCCAAATCATATTCCTCCATAATATAACTCCATGCATCCTCAAAAGACTTGGAGTCCAGGGATTTGTTCCAAACAATGCCATTCAACTTCCTCCTAAACACCTCATCTTTAGATAAAACCGGTACAACCTTGCACATTATATGCCACATGCAAAATCTATGTTTTGAAATACCAAACACACAAGCAACAGCAACCTTAGCTTGACAGCTAGATCTTGATCAGTAACAACACAAATAGGGTCATGACACATAGTTTTCTTAAATTTCTCCAAAAGCCACACATATAAGTCTACGTCTTCCCTCGTAAGCAAACCAGCACCAAAGTTGATGGATCTCTTATGGTTATCAATTCCAGTAAATGGAACAAAAATCAACTTATACCTACAACACAACAATCATTTAGGACCATACTTCTAACAAAACACACCATAAGACATGGAAATATGCACCACACAAATATACAACATGCACAAGAAAAATAAATACTAACATGCTAGTACGGTATGTAGCATCGAATGAAACATCACCAAACAAAGCAAAATTCTTCCTAGATACTGCATCAGCCCAAAAAACCCTTGAAAGTTGATCAACTTCATCAACATCATACTCAAAATCAAAAGCCTCACACAATTCACGCCTCTTGAAAAACGTATCTATGAATAATTGAGCATCACCATTTAAAATGTGCGCCATCAAATCACGCTTGAAATTTTTAAAATCCACACCTGTAGCACCAACATTGGAATACTCACCAACAATCTCTGTAAACAACCTATATGACCGAACAGAGCCAATATTTGCCCGAGCACAACTCGCAATAAACATTTGGTGGCCAGCATCAAGGCTGCGATTCACCTTTAAAAATTGCCTAGCAATAATTGAACACATCAAATAGGTGTGGAGTTCCTCAAAAGAATGCGCAAAATACAAACCATTAGACTTAAGCTTAACCACAACCTTAGCCTTACAACCAACCCTATTTGTCGCCCTCCGTCTCATCGCCAAAGTAGTTTTAGCATCAACCCCATGCATATATTGAATACTAGAACTACTCTGCTTAAACCCCTGACGATTACATACTACATGCTTCTCCACAACAACGCCATCCCTACTCTTTCGAATTGAGCTCTGCCTATAGTCAAACCCAACAGTCCCAGCATATTGTTTATAAAAAACAATAGCACCATCCAAGGAATGAAACGGTTGCCCAACAAGAGGCTTCAAACTGTCAGTACAAACTGGGCGCCAATACTTAGTCAACCCAGGAGAAATTTCCAAATCACATACATTGTCTTGTACACCAACATCAGTGGAATTACCTCCATCGCAACCACCACTGCCTTCTACACCAGCATCAGTTGAATTATCTTTATCGCAAACACCACCAACAAATTCCAAATCAACAGCTGCACACCACAGGTTAACTAATAAAGCACCACACTTTATCCAATAACACACGAATAACCCTACCTACATGCACATGACACATGCATAAAATCTGATACTACCAATCACACCAACAAACAATATATGCACCACGTGCAGACAAAAATTACACCATAATCACAAAATAACAAACAACAACATAGTCAACACCGGGACCCCGCAAAACCAGATAAAAACAGGCGATAAACTTCCGAAGCAGAACAAACACATAATAATAATAACGACAAATTAAAACTAGAAACGTCAAAAAATCAAACATACCAGGCTCCATTGCTCAATTCTGATATTCTCCAATTGCAATCGCGACTGATATCTTGTCCAAGTTGCGATGGTGATCTCCGGCGATATTCTCCCAATTGCGACGCGATCACGATCACGATCTTGATCTTCTCCCAATTACGACGCGGGCTTGATCTTCTACCAATAGTGGTCTCTCTCAGCGCTTAAAATTAGACAAAATAAAACGACTTATATACATGCACGTCCCCAGCCAATATAATTACAGAAACACCCCCACTTACCAAAAGCGAGATAAACCTTCCTTAATTCAGATAATGTGCCGCTGCCGTTGGATTAGAATTGATCAACGACAGGGATATGACCACACCGTCGCACCTAATTGCACTACCGCATATGAGCATCTACATATATATATATATATATATATATATATATATATATATATATATATATATGTGTGTGTGTGTGTGTGTGTGTGTGTGTGTGTGTGTGTGTGTGTGTGTGTGTATTCAAATGAGGACAAGTATATTATAGAGGACTGTGAGGACAGATGTAGTGTGTGCCATTAGCCGATATGTCGTGTGCATGGCCGAATGTAGTCGTGTGCCATAGTTTGTATGTCGCGTGCTAGATTTGTTAATTTATAGAGACTGAGTTCGAAACCTGATGTTTACATTTATTCTTGTGTGTCATTATGTATTAAGTTGTGTGCCCGGTATTAATTTGTTGTATGTCCATTATTTGTCCTCACAGTCCTCTATATATTGTTGTCCTCATTTGAACTCAACCATATATATATATATATATATATATATATATATATATATATATATATATATATATATATATATATATATATATATATATATATATATATATATATATATATATATCTAAAAACATAATAAGTGTGAATGAAAGTTATACCCCTGATTTATGTTCGTTTTTTCCGTTAAGTTTTTTTGTACATTATGCTATAAAGGTTGTACATTAAAATATTTTGGACAAACATATCCCTACCGTTATAACTTCCGTTATCTTTTCCACTATTGTTACCATACACATACATCAACCATATATTTTCTTATCTTCTTCATTAATAATAATATATACACATTAAATATTTGAGTTATATGTTAATTATTACATAAATATAAATATCAAATTTATAAAAATGATTTACATTATTATTATTATTATTATTATTATTATTATTATTATTATTATTATTATTTAGAATAGTTTAAATATCTAAAATCTAAATAAATTAAAAATTTTAATATAATGTATTAATATTGGGCACCTATTTTGTGCGCATCGCGCATATATATATATATATATATATATATATATATATATATATATATATATATATATATATATATATATATATATATATATATTCACATTCTACATAGTAACGTTACAATAGTCAATAACTAAAAATAATTTTATTATTACACCAGGAGATGAAATAGCATTATACTATAACTAAATATTAATTAAAATGACTAAAACAGTCATTTGAAAATAATTGTATTGTTACGTCAGGAGATTAAATATCATTATACTATAACCAAATATTAATCAATATGACCAAAACAGTGACTGAGGTATTTTAGGTCAGTAAAAATGAAATCTGACCTGCATTTGACAGCGGTTGGATAAAAAAAGTGGTTTTAGTGATTTAAATGAGGAAGTGGTTAAGGTAAATAAAGTGTAACATTGGAAGTGTTTGGTAAATGGTTTTTTTCTAATAACTTTAACTGATTAGGTTAGTAGATTTGACTAGTTAATAACATTAGCTAATTGTAGAGCTGATTACATACAAAATGACTTTTTGATCGAAAAAGCTACTTTAAACATCTTTTTGAATTTTAACATTTTAGAACAATAAGTTTATACAAAAAGCTAATTAATCAAACACTCATATTGATTCTTTAACTAAGTCAAACAACTAATAGTGGTCAAATAAGTCAAAATTAGCTGATAAGCTAACTATTTTACCAAACAGGAACATTATCTGTTTGCATAAACGAAACAATCACAATTCACAAAAGGATATATGCAATCCTCCTAATTAACTGAAGAATAACTGTTAACCAATCAACGGATTGATCATCCCTTTACACAAAAACTGAAGGGGGGGTTGGGGTTGGGATGGGGCAAAGCCAATAAAAATATGTAATGATGATTAGCCCGCGGATTAGGGAGGCAATTGAACCAATTGGTGAAAAAAGAAGAAAATCAAACTCATGAACAAAAACAAAAACAAAAAAAAAAACAAAAAAAAAAAAAAAAAAGAATTAATACCAGGAGGGAGGAGGGAGGAGGGAGACACATGTACAAAACTTCACACACAAATGGAACATAGATCTTCAAGGACTTGTCTGATGTTAGGCCTTTCATTAACCGGAAGAATGCACCTTAAAGATATGGCAAGCAATTCATCCATAGCTTTCGAGTGTTCTTCCCCGCCTGCTATGTCTCTGTCGATGCAGTCCATCCCCCTACCTTCCTGATCGCACAACCAAACCCAATCTGTAAGATCAACGGCTCCAGGCTGCCCTGAGATTATGTCACCCGCGCTTCTTCTTGTCAACAGTTCCATCAGAATCACACCAAACGCGTACACATCAGCCTTGAAAGAAAGGATAGGTTTGGTTGCGTTTGCAAGTTCAGGGGCACGGTAGCCAAGAGCCCCTAGGTTTAGTATCTGCTCTGCAATCCCACTTGGAGTCATCAGGCGGTGGAGACCATAATCTGTAATCCGGGCACTGTAATCACCCCCCACCAAGATTATATTCGTAGGCTTCAAGTTCCCATGGGGTAGGCCTTTCTCGTGCAGAAATGCTAGACAACGAGCAACTTCAACAGCTATGTTCAACCTCTTGTTGAAGGATAACGGGGAATATTTGCGAGGTGTAGTCTCTGTGTAAAAGGTTGATAAAACACACAAATAAAGAGAACGGCTTATTTATTTAATAAAGACATCTGCAAATCCTAATCCTAATGCACTAGACAAATATACAAGTTAATGCAAGTTCTAGCAGAAAGGAACAAGTAAAAACCTTTAAATGTTTAGTAAACCTACAACTAAAATCTATGTTGAGCATGAGATCATTTGCATTAGAATTTGAGGGAATAAAGAAACCATGGAAATAAAGGCAAAACAAAAGTGTCTAAGAGAACCAATTTTGAAAGATCAAAGAACTATTTAAGCAATGTTGCAAGCTCTTACCATATAGATGCAGGGCTAAGCTATCCCCTGGTATGTAGTCGGCTAAAATCAGCCTTTCTTGTTCTCTTGGGCCCCAGTAATAAGCTCGTAAAGGAACAGCATTTGGATGTCTAATTGATCCAATCTTTTTAACTTCCTTTGCAAATTCTTTCTTGTCTTTAACTAACCCCACACGCAACCATTTAACAGTCAGCACATACCCATTATCTAGGGTAGCTTTATATAAAGTGCCATGGCTACTTCTACCCAGAACTTCAGCAGGAGCTCGAGATAGTTCCTCAGCTGTAAATGCTATTGAACCATCCAGGAAGAACAGCTCTCCAGCCAAACGATCTGGTGAATACACGTCCAAAGTCACAGGTTGTTCAATTGTGTCAATAAAGCGGGGAGAGGAAGTTATAGGGGAATCTGGAGAGGATTTCTGTCCAGATGTTGCAGGATGATCTAGTGTGCTAGACTGTATATGTCCTGAACCAGTTGTAACACCCTCAGGCAACACATTTTCAACAATTTCCATGGTGGACTCAATTTTCCCTGACAATGATCTAGAGTTTGATGTTAGCAGGTGGTCATTGGAAAAACTTAATGAAGTTGGAGGTGGCTCTGAGCTGCCATGGAAATTGAAAAGTGAAGGCCGGTTAAATATCCCTACTTTAACATCTCTACCAGCGGGTTGATTGCCAAATCTTCTTTGAGACTGAAAGTTTTGAAGTTTAGCTCGACGATAAGCCAGCAGAACAAAGGCAAGCATTATAGCTGCCCCAACTGAGGCAACAATAATTGCAACCTTGATACTTGATTTGGAGTTATGAGCTCTGCTGCGACTAGGTAGTGGAACAGGAATACCATTATTAGATGGCAGATTGCCTGGCAAGACGAGCAATGAATTTCCAGGATGAAATGAAGTTTCAGGAAATCTTTTCAAGTTCTCAGGGACTGTTCCATTTAAATCATTGTAAGACACATTAAACACCCTCAGATTTGAAGGAAGATTGTTAGGAATCCTTCCCTTGAAATTATTGTGGGATAAATCAAGATATTCTAAACCACCAAGCTTGCTTAATTCAGAAGGAATCTCTCCAGCTAACTTATTTTTTCCAAGATTTAGCAGTTTAAGCCGCCCCAGGTTACTTATGTCAGGAGGCAAATAACCTGTCAAAGAATTACTTGAAAGATCAAGAGTCTCCAATTGAGGAAATGAAGGTAGGACTAGTAGTTCAGAGGAATGTGAGCCTCCAAGAGGAATTGATCCTGTCAAATGATTTCCAGACAGATTGAGGTTCATCAAGGTTGAAGAAGCAAAGAAACTAGCTGGAATAGTTCCATCAAGTTCATTGGCACTGAGATCAACTATAGCCATCCTTGAAGAGGCAACAAGTGAATAAGGCAGGTTCCCTCTAATAGAATTATTTCGGATGCTGAGAAAAGTCAATTGTTGAAATTGAGAAGTCAAATTAGGAAGACTGCCAGTCAACTGATTTGAGCTCAAGTCTAGAACTTCAAGATTTGCCTCCCAACTCTCAATAGCAGATATGTCACCACTGAGATTATTACTGCTCAAATCAACCACCAAACAATTTCCTATGGACGAAGGAAACCCAGACAGAAAATTTGATGAAAGATTTAAAGTCTTCAAAGTAGTTGAATTTACTATCTCAATTGAGCCTGCAAAAAAAAGCAAGGGAATTCGTTATATACTGTAGGTAAGATGAAAGCAAGAAACCTAAGTTACTGTCATTTTCAAAATCAACAGAACCTGAATAGAAATGCTTACAAATTATATGACGTAGTAGTAGTAGTTAAGGAAACCAAAAAAATAAAAAATAAAAAATAAAAAAAAATAACCTATAGAAATGCATCAAGAAACATAGATGACTGGATTTAAAATTCAAATTGTGCACATAAACGAATAAACAATGATCTTTTTTCAACTGTTTTATAAGTCAACAATGATGTTAAAGGCACCAAAAGAGTTCTGCAACAAATGTACATCACTTCAGTTTTTGTTCTCAATCCCCATTATGGCATTACTTATAAAGGCTTGAGCTCATAAAGGTGGTTTAGATACCTAAGTTGATATTCACAACAGTCGTGCCAATTGTTGAAGTGTTTCATTGAGAAACGGTTGGTATAACTGAATCTATGAATCTATCTACATTAAGCACAGTTATTTCAGCTTCTCTTTGGGATGGAAGCAACTGTAGATTGGTCAATTATTACCTGTATAATGGAGTTATGAAGATCCCCTCAAGTTTTTCAGCAGTAATGATCCATGCATGTAAACTTTCAACGTGCATACACAAGAAAACAGGCATAGCTTTACCAAATACACATGTGCACACATGCACGAGTGAGAGGGGAAGTGCAGGTGGCGGAAGGGGGCGGAATCAATCTAAATGGCATTTGTGATGGACATTGCAGGCATGAACAAGATGTCAGAATATGGAAGAAATTACACAAAATGTTATCACGCCAAGTCGCCAATAACACTCCATAGCAACATAATATCATATGTAACACATATAGTATGCAAATGCCTGTATTACACATCTACTAATAATAAAATTATATTATTAATAATAATAAGGGAAAATTGCATCTTTAGTCCCTAAGTTATAACTAAGTTCCGACTCAGTCCCTAAGTTATGACAGTATCCGAGTTTAGTCCCTCAGTTATGAGCAAAGTGGCGAGTTTGGTCCCTAGCGTTAATATTCTGTCTGCAGCTAACGGAAAACTCAAAAACAATTTAATAATAGAGGGTTAAAATAGAAATTTCAAATTATAATCACCTTCTTTTGTAGAAACTCATTGCGCAACCGTCATTATTTTCTTCTTATATCTAACGGAAGTGGGAGATTTCAGAGTTTGGGGAAGAAAAAGACCTTCAATTGTAGGTATAAGAAGAAAAGAATGACGGTTGTGCAACGAGTTCCAACATAAAAAGAGGATTATAATTTGAAATTCCTATTTTATCCCTCTATTATTAAATTGGTTTTAAGTTTTCCGTTAGCTGTAGACAGAATATTAACGCTAGGGACCAAACTCGCCACTTTGCTCATAACTGAGGGACTAAACTCAAAAACAGCCATAACTTAAGGGATTGAATCGAAACTTGATTATAACTCAGGGACTAAATATGCAATTTTCCCTAATAATAATAATAATAATTATTATTATTATTATTATTATTATTATTATTGTTTGTCTCACATGTACACAAAAGGTTTTCCCAAAAACACTATGGCATTGATGATTTTGGACTGCAAGCCTAAATAATGGAATAGCAATAACCATGTGTTTCAATTCTTTATAGAACTACATTAGCAAATCAGTACTGCATCAAAGGCATTTTGTTTACCTTGAAAACATCAGTTAAAGTTTCTACCAAATGTTCAGAGTTCCACTCAATATAACACATGATTTGATTTTAATATGCACTATAGATGGATTTCATATTCTTCATGCTGAGTCAGTAGAGCTGTAAACAAGCTGAGCCTAGCATGGTTAAACTCAAGTCGAGTTTAACCAATGCCAAACAGATTTTTGGATTTGGACATTTGGTTTGTTTAAATTAACAAGCAAAGCAGGCTTGATTAAGGAAAACTGAAAGTTAATATTTAATACAAAACATTATTACACTACATGTTTCAACCAAATTTCCCAAAACACAAAGTACTTCCACAATAATATTACACATTCACACTGAATGCCTCAAAACATGAAGCAAAATCTACAACACAGCAGAACAGATATTCCCCGGAAAAACTCCAGTAGTAAAAAGTAAAAACAGGGGAGGACGTCCAATTGCTGATTTTATATTATCTTGTATAAAATTATCATCATACAATGACATTAAGAGTTTTCTATTTCCATAAGCAAAGAACCAAGAACAAGTATCCGACAACGTCTACAATTTCAACTTACTTAGTGAATGGAGAATCACATATTGAATGAGCATCACGAGTTTGGTTATACTTTAGATTATTTAAAAAGATTCTCACTTCAGATGTTGTTCTGGCAACAGAACACAATATAACAAATAAAAAAGGAACCTTGGAATATGACAGCTAAACTAGTAAGGATAAAAGATATAATAAATGAAATGATTGGAAAACTGACATTGACGTCTAACCTGAAAATCCATTGCCACTGAGATCCAATTCCTCCAACGGTACCAAACCCAGCAAAAGCTCATCAGGAACTGAACCGTATAGCTGGTTATTTGCTAGACTTAGAACTTTGAGATTCGGGGATGATCCAAAAGAAGGAAGCTGTCCCATTAATCCATTGTTCCCCAAATCCAAAACCTGCAAGTTCCGAAACATCTGAATCGAATCTCCGTTGAAAAACCCACCGGCCAGGTTGTTATGGCTCAAGTTCATATGCTGCAGTGTATTGGCCAAGCTAGATAAATTGTCTCGATTAATGGAGAGCGAGCCGAAAAATGAGTTCCCACTCAAATCAAGATACTCCACATTCCTGAGCTCAGAGAAGAGCTCCTGTACATCGCCCCAGAGCCCATTTGAGTGCAAATCGAGCACTTTCAACTGCTGCAAATTCCTAATTCCGCTTGGAAAAGCCTTGGAAAAATTATTATTGGAGAGATTCAGATAATTCAAACCCCAAAGCTGGGTAAGCCGCTCGGGAACAGGCCCGTAGAACTGGTTCCCGGAGAGATCCAAGTACTGCAGCGAGGTCATGTAGCCTAGAGCGGGCACGACCCGACCCGTGAAGGAGTTACCTGAAAGACTAAGGTTCCTGAGCTGCTTAAGGCCATTGAGTGTAGTAAACTTCAAGTCGCCGGACAAGCCGAGGCGGTCAAGGGCAATGGCGGAGACGGAGCCGGAGTCGCAAACGACGCCGTAGAACTTGTCGGGGCAGGAGGACAGATCCGAGAGGAGCGTCTGGTTCCAGGACTGGAAGATTTTGTTCAAAGGGTCGTTCTTAATGCCCTTCTTGAACTCCAAGAGTGATCGGAGCTCTTGCTGGTCGGCGGAGACATAGCAGCAGGGCAAGAAGAGGAGTAGAGGAAGAAAGAGACCAAAACCGATTTTAGACATTTGAGTGAGTGAGAGCAAGAATGTGAGTAGGAATCAATACTGTGAAAGAGGAGACATTGAGGTGAGAGAGAGAGAGAAAGTCAGAAAGCAGAAAATGGAGCAAATAGTTTACAGAACAGAGAAAGAGAGAATGGGGTGGATGAAGGAGGGAGAGTGGGTGGGTGGGTACTGGGTAGGATAGAAGAAAAGGGAATAAAAGTTGGAAATTAGGGTTTTTATATTGGAAGGGGTAGAGCAAATGAGTTGTCTGCTTGTATTTTGTGTGTGTTGTATATGCCTGTCTGCGGTGTCTCCCTCTACACTCTACTCCACACCCCGACACCCCACACCCACAGGGCTTAAGCTTTTATATTATCTCATGTTTTTGACAAAAATTTGTATGTGAACGTATTACGAATCTTTATTCGTAAGATAAAAATGTAATAAATTTGAAGAAAGTGTAATACTCTTATATTTTTTTTATTTAAATTATTTTTTTTTATAAAAAATATATTACTTTTACATTAACATATAAAAGTATTACAATATTTGTTTTCAAAAGTATTACATTTTTTTTATAAATAACAAACATTTAGTTAGCTAATCAGCCAATTTTGATTTATTTGATCACTATTAATTGTTTGACTTAGTTAAAAAATTAATATAAGTATTTGATTAATTAACTTTTTGTAACTCTAAAATACTAAAATTCAAAAAGCTGTTCAAAGTAACTTTTTTAATTAGCTTTTTGAGAAAATAAATTATATCAAACAGCTAACAGTTAATTTACCAACCACTTTTCTACAATCAGAATGTTATCAACTTGTTTCGGCCTTGGCCAAATAAGGCGCTGCACGAAAGTATGAACCATTCATTAGTTTCAATAGTTTGGTTCTGGACTGTTATAATATTAAATTTCAGTTTGATTTTTGAATTAAAACTCAAATAATGGTGGCTGTTTCAGGTGTTACAAATCGTGCATTAAGTGCCAAATTAAATGCTATTGATTCTTCAACTCCTATATAAGAAGAGTGTAGGAGCAGCAGGTTTGCACACAGTGAAGTAGTGAAGGACTACACTCACACACAACACAAGAAAAATAATTTTTTCCAGCCTCAAAATACTTCTGCTTCTACTCCATTCTTGAAGCTGTGTTTTGCCAGTGCTCTTGTTCGCCGGGTTCGCTCGTTTGGGTGCTCAAACGTCGAACCGTTGTACGTTTTATCCTGGGAAACCTAGGCCGCTCCTAGCACTTTTGGGAGGTGGCAAATAAGGTTTTAAGGAAAGAAAGGCACTCGCCTAACTCGTACATTTCTTTCTTCCTTCTCCTTCTTTCTTGTTTTGGATTATGCTTTTAAGCAAAAATCCGTTCTCCCTCTTTTGATATATTAGTTGGATTGGACTTATAATCTGAGGATTATTAGTTTCAATTTTGGTTGATATATATTGATATATCTTTTTTCGTAGATATACATGTATATATAACATTTGGATCCGTTTTATATATATTTGTGTGTATATATATATATATATATTTCGGATAAATATCCAATAATATTTTATATACTTGTGTGTATATATATATTTCGGATAAATATCCAATAATATTTTATATACTTGTGTGTGTATATATAAATATTATTTTTGGGATATTAAATCGATTGTGGTTCATTATCACCAACACTTCCTAGTTAGAATTTTTTTCTCAAGAGTGTCCGCTCTCGGTCTTTTTGATTAAGAACGTTATTTTTGTTCTTTTAATCTTATTTTGTTACTAGTGAAATTGAGAGTCTTATAGTTTAATAGTATAAATTTGAGATTCTCCCTGCAAGGTCTCGAGATCAATACATTAAAAATAAAGGATCAAGGTCAAATACGTCCTCCAATTATATGCCGAAATGCATTTACACCTTCGAACCAAAAAACATCCAATTAAACCTTTAAACCGATTAAAATCGTGCAGTTAACATGTTTAACAGGTTACCAAAATGTAATTGGTTAATTTTGATTGCATGGCATCCCATTAAAAAAAAAGAATTAAAAAAAATTAAAAAGAGTCGTTGGCTTTTGACAGGTTTCTCCGTCTAGATCGAATGAAGAACCTCGCCATGCTTCTTCGTCCCTTGTCCAGTTCGACATGAACGAAGAAGTCATGAGAGTCTGTTATTTTATTTAAATTCTTACTTTTTAATTTTTATAGATATATTTATTTTGATTTGTTTTTTTAATATTAACCTAAGTGGCATGTGATTTTGGAGTAACATGCTATTATAGATCAAATTGGATAATTGCACATTTTTAATAAGTTTAAGAATTTAATTGATATTCTTTTTTAATTTAATGATCTAATTGTATTTTAGTATATAGTTGGATGGTATATTTGACTCTTATCCCAAATATATATATATATATATATATATATCTACTATACTAATAAGAGCCCAAGAGAGTTATTTTTTAATCAAATGAATGGCTCAGATTAATCAGATTTAAATTTTTCCTTAAGATTTCCTAATTTATCCTTAATGAATATGATTATTTTCTGTTAATTTCTGTTAGTTCACCGTTAATTTACTCATTGATTTCAATAAGAAAGGTCTTAAGTTCGAACCTCATCCCAATCAAAGTTGGCATAATTAGTACTCTATTTTACTCTTATTAAATTTAGTACTCTATTTCACTCTTATTAAATTATATAAATAATAATTTAGTAGCTACAACAAAAAATAATATATATGCATTTCTTTAATTTAGAATTATGTGTCTACAATGTCTTTATTAAAAAAAAAATTATTCATTATCAATAAATTAAATAAGAGAAATAATTTCATTAGTTATATTGTCTTTATTTTTCTCCAATATAAAAATTCTTTACATTCAAATTCATCAATTGATTATATTCGCTACATTGTCCCTACAATGTCTTTATTAAAAAAAATTATTCATTATCAATAAATTAATTAAGAGAAATAATTTTATTAGTTATATTGTCTTTATTTTTCTCCAATGTAAAAATCCTTTACATTCAAATTTATCAATTGATTATATTCACTACATTGTTTATTATCTTTTTTTGTGCACTACTTTTTTAATTAAATATCAAAGTTATAATACAAAATAATGCTATATATTTATTTACCAAGTATTTTATTAATACCATGAAAAAATTTAAAAAATATAATTAATAAAGTCAATCATATTAACTACTTAAGGGATTTGTTGACAAAGAAAGTATTCAAATCACACAACAAATTGAAGTGAGAACTATCTCGTAATGTCCTTGTTTGACAATCAGCAGTTAGCGATTAGCGTTAACGGATTTGACCAACGAATTATATCAACGCTTGGTAAAAAGATATTTCAAAAAATTAGCTGTTTAGATTAACATGTAAAATGACCTAAGGATATACATATATTTAATAATAATAATAATAATAATAATAATAATAATAATAATAGTTTTAAAAAAATAAAAAATATATATATAATTAAGTCAATACTACTTGGGGCTTTATTGACAAAAAGAGTATCAAATCACAAAACAAATTGAAGTGGAAAACTATCTCTCAATGTCCTTGTTTGACAATCAGCAGTTAGCTCTTCAATAGTATTTGGTTTCAACCATACCTATACAATTATTTTATTGACAATTATAATCAATTTTGACTATATTATCTTGCATTTGTAAACTTAGAATTACCTATTTAAATAGGCAAATTCAACATTCAATTATTTATACATGAACAATTCCAATATAATATACTTTAAAGTACTTATTTAAAAAAAAAAACATTGGGCATTATCCCAATCGCGCAATGCGCGTAAAAAACTAGTATATATATATAGTCGTAACGAAATTGTAATAATTATATAATAAAGAAAGTACAATGTACAAATTATTACATTTAATAGTTTTAACTTCTCAAATGTGAAAAGAATTTTTTTTTTTTTAAATAAAGTACAACTAAGCCACTAAACTATTTGCAAAACAGCAATTAAGCTACCGAACTCAAATAATTTTCAAATAAGTCATTGAAACCGAAAAAAATAGCAATTAACATTTTTAACAAGTTAACTCCCAATTTTGCTGACTGTATTGTCACATATTTTCAGCAGTTCCGAGAAGGTCAACCGGGCTGATGACCCACAGAAGTAGTAGAGGGGCGTTATGCTGTGGAACCGTGCCCACCTTGCAACTATGCTCACCTTGCAAGGTGGGCACGTGTCCACAACATAATTTGCCAGTAGTAGACGGCGGTGTCGTAGGCTCTTGCCGCCGCTACCGACGTTGAATAGGATCGTAACCATATCCTCGACTGCTTGTTCGAACTTCCCCTTCCATCTCCATCTTCTCGCCATTCAAATTCATACTTCTGCACTGTGAATCTGCTTATATATATCGACTAATTGTACCTGAATCCTATCTTTCCCCGTAATATAAGGCCACGATTGGAGGAAATTTAGAGAGATAATGAACATCCATGAAATTGGCTTTGTTAAGCAACTCCAGTGTTTCTTAGATAATAATAATAATAATAATAATAATAATAATAATAATAATAAAATAAATAAATAAATTAATTAAATAAAATCAATATGTGACAATCAAGTCAGCAAAAAGGAAGTTAACATGTTAAAAATGTTAATTGCTCTTTTTTCTCGGGTTCAGTGGCTTATTTGGAAGTTACTTGAGTTTGGTGGCTTAACTAATGTTTTCCAAATAGTTCAGTTATTTATTTGTACTTTATCTCTAAAAAAATGGTAAGATTGAAAAGAATTTACATGTATGTGAAAAAATAAACATAATGTACAAACTAGTCAGCACAATCGATTACACCAATCTATTTTCTATTCATGTCTTGATAATTTTAGTAATAAAAAATCAAATGCAAATAACGCTTAGGGGGCGTTTGGTTCAGGTTATATAACATAACCAAGGGAATGTGACATTCCAAAGCTCACATTCCTATGTTTGGTTCACATTATCTCAGGGAATCTAACATTCCCCAGGAATGTCACATTCCCTCCACATAGGATTTTGAAGGGAATGTGATTCCCTTCAATTTATAAGGTTATGTAAGATAACCTTGGTTATTTTAGTTTATCTCACACACACACACACACACACACACACACACACACACATATATATATATATATATATATATATATATAATTATTTTTGTAATTATATATTTTTTATTTTAGGTTAGCATATAAAAAAAATTTTGTTTCTCAAGTTCAATATTTTAGTTAATATTTTAAAATCATGTAATTATATATGA